TCCGACAAGGCGACAGGAAACAGGAGGTCCCGAACCAATGGACCTCTGTTACATCGAAAGCGAGAAATCTCGCTCTCTGAGTCACAAGCAAACCGCGAGATGCCATCGCTGTCAGAAGATTGTACACTACGCTCATGAGTGTAGTATCCCGAGTGCTGCAACACGTCCAAAGACAGGGCGTGACGACCACCGTTGGCCAAGAAAGGGTCTGAGGCGTGGGTCCGACCATGTCGCTAAGCCGCGGCAGCAAGTCGGACTGTAAAAAAAACGGTCAGGGTCAGTAGGGGCGGAGTACCCTGCTGATCCAGCAACGTCAAGAGATTTGCAGGACTCTTGACGAAGATTGCTTCCAACACACAGTCACTGTGTTTTACTGCCTTTAGTGATTAGTAGTCTCTCATCACTTTGAAGATCGAAGTGACAAATGGAATGTCACTTCGCGCCCTAGTTGACTGTGGGGCGTCAAACAGTTTTATTCGACGCCAGTCGCTTGGGGAAAGTAGGCTCAACTATGTTGAACGAGAGTTCCCTTCAACGAGGATGACGGTGTGCCTTGCTACAGGCGCATCTGTAACAGTGAACAAACGTGTAGTGGGAATCCACTACACGTTAGAAGGAAAGCAGTACGATGATGAATTTATCTCATTAGATTTAAATGACAAATTTGATGTCATCCTCGGTCTGCCATGCTTAGAAACTTTCAGCCATGGATTAGCTGGCAGCATCGATCCGTGAAGATGCCTGCCGTTTGTTCATCAGATGGCCATCTGATGAACGTCTTAATACGTCCACAAGCGTGTGAATTTACTACGAGTGAGTGCGATGGCATCACTCGTGGTACGGTCGTTAGTATGACTGCACAAGATCACAGTGTAGAAGGCCACTACACTGTGGAACCAGCTTCCGGAACCTGTTTTGAGACACAGGCTTCAACAAAGGTACAACACTTAAAAAGATCGAGTGGATTGGAACATGGATGCACGCCAAGCAGGGTGCATCCAAGAAGAGAGATGAGTGGTGTTCAGAATAACAAACACGTTAAAAGTGAGATCGACTGACAGAGAGTCGATCGCAAGGCAAACACGATAGGCTAAAACAGATTCGATCGAAGATGACATGACTGTGGTATTGCACCCACATTCAGAACACGTATCGGAAGAAAGTCCAGCGTTCCTGAGAGTGACAAATCCCGAGAGACTTATGTTGAGGGTGTGTTTTTTCCCAACCACCAGCGGATGTGCTTTCCCAGGGAAGCACCGAGATAGTGAATGTCTTGGTGAATGACGGATCTAGTGTAGGCGCTTATACACTTGATCTCGTGACGCCCCCGAACTCAGCTTCGGAGGTGGTCAAGTTGCCAACGCTAGAATCTAAAAGATTCTTGCGAGATCTGCGTAGTGACAAGACCAAGCAGATCTGCGTACTCGTCACAGAGGACGGGTATGTCGCCGATATCCGGTCGGCACAAGTGTTTGCTGAGAACGAACGGGGTCTTAGTATCTCATCGATGGACGAGAGTATCCTCGATGAAAAGTCCTGGATTGAGCGATACACGTCTCAAACTTGGGAGTCTGAAACGACGAATCATTTGCATAAGGATTTGGTGGAATTCATGGATTTTTCCCGGAATCCGTGCCATGCGAGCTGCCCAAGGACAAAGTCAATTAGCATGAGATCGAACTGAAACCTGGTTCGAAATACTGTGTCATGAAGCAGTGGCCAATGCCTCGTGAACAGGTCACAGCGATCAACAAATTCTGTACCGATCGCTTAGCTGCTGGTCGTGTGAGGGAATCAACATCCCCATACAGATTTTCGACATTCTGTGTGTGGAAAGCCACAAGTGGGTGGCGGATAGTACACGCGTTCGACAAATTGAATGCCGCAATTGTACAGGCTCAAACGCCAATATCGAGGAATGAATTAATTTTAGATGGTATGGCAAAAAATACCACCTTTTCATCCATGGATCTGATGGATGGATTCTTTCAGATCCTCATGCGTGAACGGTAGATCCGGTACACAGCAGTGAGTACCCCCAGTGGTATGCTCTGGGAGTGGCTAGTGATGCCACATGGGCTAAGTAACGCCCCCGCAACGTTTAACAGATGTGTTACGAATCTATTGCGATCGGTGCGCGACTTCGCATCGAGTTACTTCGACGATGTCTTCGTCCATAGCCGGGCTATGAATGGAAAGACGGACGTGGAGGTTCGTAGAATCCACGTCCGGAAGGTTCTTACTCTAATGCGAGAGCATAAGTTGTTCGCGAACCTCAAGAAGTGCATATTCGCAGCGAACGAAATACCACTTCTTGGCTGCATCGTGGATAAAAACGGTGTACGCCCTGATTTGGAAAAGATCAAGGCGATTAGCGACTGGCCTGTGCCAGTCGACGTCAAGGGACTTCGAACATTTCTTGGATTGGCAGCGTATTTGCACAAATACTCGCGCAACTATGCCGAGATACTGTACATATCTCTCGTCTACTAAAGAAAAACGAGAGGTGATCATGGAGCGCTGAGTGCCAGCACTCTTTTGAAGGCATCAAGAAAAGCTTGGTGCAATCGCCTGTGTTGGCGATTGCAGATCAGGATAGGCCATTTCATGTGGTCTGTGACGCCAGCAATTTTGCAATCGGCTGCGCGGTAATGCAGTACGACTCAGACGGCGTTGAGCGCGTCGTCTGTTATCAATCGCGTCAGCTTCAAGCAGCTGAGCAAAATGATCCGGTGCGTGACAAGGAACGCCTTGCAATGACATATGCACTGGCCAAGTTTCGGGTATATCTCTTAGGAGATAGGCCCTTCATCGTTTATACCGACCATGCGTCGTTACGCACGGCCGTAAACAGTCCACACATCTCGCGACGAATGGCGAGGTGGCTGTCTTTCTTCGCGGAGTAAAACTTCTCCGTCGAGTACAAACCAGGGCGACTTAATGTCGTCGCTGATGCTCTTTCGCGTCGGCCCGATTTTTAGTCGACTGCTCAACACAACAGTAGGGGTGATCCCACTGTAGCGACACTAACAGTGAGTGTTCCGCCGTCGAATCTGCTCGACGACGTCCGAAGAGCATACGCAGAAGATGAGTCTCTTCTGCTATTGATGGATTACGTATCCAATGCGTGTAATCAAGCTTCGAAAAGCTTGTCGTCTCAATACCGCTCTTCAACCAAACGGTATTCGATTCGTGATGGACTGTTGTACTAAACAACAGTCAACGGCGACACACCTCGTGTCGTCGTTCCGGCTCATAATGATTTGCGATTGCGCATCATGTATGAGTGTCACGATGCCCCAACAAGTGGACATCGCGGTAGAGAAAAGACTTACCTCATGGTTATTCGTGACTTCTACTGGCCCCGCTAGTATGGGTTTGTGCGCAAATACATTCGCGCTTGCGAAGTTTGTCAACGGGTGTCAACGGGTGAAGACCATCCCGAAACAGATGGTCAGACGGAATGCGTCAACCGCGTTCTCGAAGAGATACTTCGAGGGTATGTCCACTTGTTTACGAGCTGAAGTGAGTTCTTTCCAATGGCGGAGTTCGCCATCATCATCTCGGTGCACGCGTCTATAACGCATTCACCGTTCTTCGTAAATGCCCTACGCCATTCTCGTTTACCCGCCTTCTTAGAGTGTGTCTCTAGTCCAAGGGGGGGATGTGGACTCGCTCGAACAAAAACCGATCTGGTTCTTGCCCATCACCCGTCGACAATGGTGTCGACGTGATGGATGCCGATGTCGATGCTTATCGATATCGATGATGACGATGACGACGATGCTGGCATATTCAGCATCGTCAATGACCGCGATAAGTCAGCAGAGGAATTTCTGCTGACTAGAGAAGCGGTTGTCCGCTTCGTTCAAGACTCGATTGCAGATGCACTCGACAGACAGAAGAAAAACGCAGACAAACATGGAAGAGAATATGCTCTTTCATTTGATGAAAAAGACCTAGTTTTACTGTTTACAGTAAACTTACCAAAAGACGCAGTGACAAACGTGGGCAGCAGTAAATTACTGCCCAGGAACATCGGTCCATTTCGTGTGTTGCGCCAAATGTGCAACGCATACACGATTAAACTGCCCCGTAAGATGCGTACGCATCCTACGTTTTACGTTGGTCATCTCCGCCCTTACTATCAATACGAGCCGTTTTAAGATGCGAAGAACACCTCCGCCGAGAGCGGAGACCACCTTCGAGTAATCCTGTTTCAACGTGCCAGTCTGGTCGACTAGCGAAGCGACCTGTATACGCAGTTCAGCGATGTCTCGACGAGCTACAGCCAGCTCATCACGAAGAGAACGAGTCGAACGTTCGTTCTCAAGTTGCGCGAGAGCAAAGGCGGCACTATCGTCCGAACGATCGTGCGTTAGGGAATTACAGTTATCCCTTACTAGATTCTCAAGCTCATAACGCCGAGATCGTTCATGAGCCAGGTCATCTTACAACTGTTCCGTTAGACGGTTCAGCTCTTGAACATCAAGTTGATCCGAACCTCGAGCCGCATCAGGTGTTCCCACCGCCACCACATCCTTTGGTGGACTCAAGCGGTGGTCAACGCTACCTAGTTGAGCGTAATTTGAACCACCGCGATGTAAATGCCGTCCGGACGAGTTACCTCGTCCGCTGGCGTGGTTATCCACCGGCGTGGGACAGCTGGGAGCCTCGTGCCCAGCTGATTGTTGATGGCCTTGGTCTCGTCGAGCATTTCGACGAGACCCACTCGCTGCGTTTAAAGAAGGTCGGTCGGAATACGACCCCCCCAAACGCGAGTACAGGGATTGTAAAGTGTCGACCCTTTCGGCCATCATGGAAGAGATGCGCGACCTCCAGTAAAGATCATTAGGGAGGGAGGCCTCCCTAAGGGCACGGTTTGAGTTGTCCAGGCAATTGGACAAAAATCGCCCCACGAGAGACAGGATAATCCTGCCTTTTTTGAAAGCCTGTGCAACTTGTATCGCGCCCTGACTGGGTTATGTTTTCCAAACCTGATGCGAGGTTGCATCAAGTTTGGCGAGCCAAGCCTCACGGCAAATACACTCGATGTTGTGGATGAGGGCATTCCATTTCTGCACCAAGGCTTTGCCGTCCCGAACACGGCTACCATTGTACCACCGATCTTTAGAGAACGCATCGGTGAAGAACTCTTCCTCAGAACGGATAGTTTCTGTGCTGAAATAAGGAGGGCAAATCTTCCTGCAATCGAACAACGGGATTCGATCCCGTTCGGTAGTCGTGCCGGCCAACCGGTCCAGCTCATTGGATGGCGGCATCCATGGAGACTTCACTTGGGGAGCGTGGCGCAGGACATTCCGGTCCCTGGCCTCTTGATTGGTGCCAGCATGAGCACTGGCACCAGTGTTACCCCGATCCCTTGAGTTACTTCGCTCGTGGTGATGTATAGGCGCATCACCACCATCCCCACGCGTTCTATCCATAGACGGACTTGCGTGAGGCGGAGACTCATCGAAATAATCACTCGATCCGACGAGCTCGGTCAAATACCGCCGCGCTGACCAGAGCCAGTCCGTCTGGCTCTTGCAGTGTCCTCCCCGGGTGATCCGGAGGCGTGAGGCGTCGCCTTCGAGTCGGATGCATCATCCGAATCGCCAGAATAGATGAGCTCTATCTTAGCCTCGTCTTGATTACGACCCGAGGTACCCGCTGCAGACGCACCGGATGTTCCTGTCGCACGTGGTGATTTACCACGTGGATGATTCACGACAACAGGCGACGAATCGCCTACTGCTGAGGTGTGAGAGGCACTTTCCGCGGCCGCACACATGCGTGTAGCCGCTCTTTTTGCTGCTGCAGTAGCAGCTCGCGTGGTTTTTGAAACCATGCGTTGGATTGGCAAATGAATGGAATTAGACCAACAAGTGCTCCCTTTCCCAGAGTGACCCAACGGTGGTCACTCTGTCCCAATCAATTCTAATTCAATTAACGGGCGATTGATGGTTAAGGGGGGAAGTGATGTAACCGGGTAGCCCATTACATGAAATTGACACCAAACTGTTTAAATTAAATTTTTGTCTAGCATGACAATATTCTACCGATATTATTCGAGATGGGTAGTATTGAAGGAATATTATCCCTTTTTGGATAATGTTCATGCGCTGCTCAAAGATTGGTTGATATAAGACATATCAACCATAGATTGCCACCAATCGCTGCTAGACGCGCGCAATGAGTGGTGAGCAGGTAGTCGTCATACGACGGCGTACTTTAATATAGTTAAATAAAGATTAAAGCTATATTGATAGCTTAACTATATTAAATACAGTTCCCTTTTTACCTTTACTTGACCAAGTCGATCAAGTAGATTAGCTTCCTCTGCAAGTACTAGTATACGTGAAGTTTCGCGGCACCCCAAACAAAGGGTGTCCCGTTACACTACACCTACAACAATAGCGGTAAACACTGCAAGCTATTGGATGACTTTACTAAGCGCAAATTTAATCGAAGACGAAGCAGTCCGACACATTTGACAGATTCGGCTGAAGGCTGCTTATGGCACCATCATCATCAACCTAGGTTTACCACAACCTTGGCAAAAATAATGCATGGTCGTCAGAGGGGGGGGGTGGCATTTGCGTTTCAGACTGACCATTCTTTGTAAGATCTCTAACTCATCGTCCAAAGAGATATAACAAATAGCTAATTTGAAGTCGATCCCGAGTCGTGGATCCAGTCCATGACCCTAAACAAATTCAAAGCAATGAGTATGATATGGTACACTACTTTAAACGTATTTCGATAATGACTATACATTATCCATCAGGTCTTCAGATTCGACGGTGTTTGCGAAGACCGTAGCATCACGACAGTTCGTTCCTTATCAATTACTCCTTCAAGCCAATCGTTCACATCACCATTTACCTTTTTCTCTGTTCCCATCAACATCTTAGCTACAACATGAACGCCGTATGTATAATCTTAGCTAAAAATTGGTCATTTTACTCAAGTCATGCATCATGCATTGATCGATCCACACACCTTCTACCTCTTCAGCGTAAACACGTGGAAGTATGTTCTTTGTCGGATAATTAATATAAGGTAGACTTCCTGTTGACTCCTGTAGCTCACTTAAACACCGTCTTTGGGTTTGTTAAGTGTATTATTACCAGAGCTGAAAGTAGGCTGTCAGCGAAACGCTTCACAGCGTCGTTTTCTCGAAGCGATGATTAACATGCCACTTCACATAATTTTATTCCATTCTTCTATTAGCAGCCTACCTGTGGTATCCTTTCTATAAGAGTGCCTTCGGTGACTGTCACTTCAACATGTTGAAGCCACTGATTGAGCTTGGAAAAGTGCAAATAATCTTCACCGACTGCCTCGACGTTGCTTGTAGTTTGTGTACTAATCCAACGACCAGATCATTGTAGGAAAGCGCTAGACCATTTTTGACTTCAGCTGCATGTGAGTTATTGGCATGAAGTCTCTGGACATCACGACGCAGCATTCCTTGTATAAAATAGCAATTATCTCTTAGCCACGTCATCTTCAGTCTCGTGTATAATTTAGCCGTCTCTCCTTACACCAGGACTATCGAATCTCGTACTACACTGACTTTATCCGATAACTACACTGGACTCATTCTGGTTTAATTCTTACCATATAATCTTTTTCACTTTTTTTATACACTATCAGCTTACCTATCTATCCAGTTTGTACAAATTGTACGACTTGGACAACATGTAACATTTCTTCGTCGACATGGACTCTTCCATATGCACAAGCCAATGCTTCAGCTTGTCATGCGTCGCCGCATAAAATATAAGACGGCATGTATACGCCTTTACTCTGCTGCGATAAACACTATTGCGTAGAATTTATATAATTTCTTTCATGCCTGGATATTTATCCTTGTAGTATTTAAGTCCGATCATAACTGTTTACAAGTCTTCATACCAGGATAATAGCATACCACACGATAATTTTCATCATATCGTTTAGGCTAAGCACGTGGTCCTTCTTCGTATCTGTCAATCTAAACTGAATACGACAGTCGAATAGCTGCTCAAGGGTAGTCTTTGTTATTTCTTGAGGACTTGCGCAGCAGACGGAATAGAACTGGAATTAAGATTGAAAGTGTGCTCCTTCCTGATCTTGCTATCGCTCGCACGCATAATTTACCTACTGCACTTGCTGCGTGTCGTCTGTTAGCAATCGCTGCTATTCACTCTGCTTCAGGCTAATCTCGAAGAACGCACCGTAACGTCGCGACCTGACGGTGCGGCGTTTTCAAATTTTCTCCTTCACGCATCGAGACGTCGATACTCACTGGCTATCTGTGCACCGCCTGTGCCCATGCAACACCGTCGATCTTCACCACTCCTATTCGTCGACGATTCCATGCTTCTTTCACACCCACACTACGCGATATAAAGCAGAGTTTGCAAATCGGTAGCCTTGCTCGCGTAGAGTGCACTAATGAGGACTTCAGCGATCATGAGCTCGTTATGCACGTAGACATGCGCCACAATGCCACGTCGCGCTTAGTGCGCGAACGTCCATGTGCTTCGCTTTTGCTAATGTTGCTTCTAATGGAATTGACCATCTGGGCGACTGTTCGTGTAATTTGTGACAGACGGCGCCGAATGACGGATGTTTCAGTTTTGCATGATAAAGGAGTGCAGCTGTAAATGATGCCGCTTCATTATAGTGTGGCCAGCACGATTGCTTATGAGAAAGGGAATTGAAAAGATAATGGAAAGGTCGAAAGGTAGGTAGTTAAACAAGATAGTCATCAGTATCCAATTTTCCCCTCGTAGTTAACTCGTTCACTCATCTGAAGACAGCTTCCACTGCTATTACACACTTACCGCCTGATTTTATGTGTACGTCGTGAGCGGCAGCTTCGGTGCCACGACGATCTTAGTTATTGTCTCGCTTATGCCTAGCAGCTTAGTTCATGATTCTGAAGCCGCAAAGAACTCAGATTACATCGTAACCAGCAAAACACCGCCTTGTTGTTTTGACCACCAGCTCAAGGCGATGCTATTGAGCAGAAACAAAGAAGTCACTCAAAGATTTCCGACACGTCCATTCTGCAACATATTTGGCTTCAACGTAGATGACGGGCGTTGGCTGCGCGTCCGCTTGCGTTGTTGCTGCCATGCGGAGCTTAAGAGCTTGCGTGCCAATTAGGTAGCGAACGATCCTTTTCGCAAGCTTTTACTTATTACGCGGCTTACGCGTCTGGAGCGTTACTTTGTGAACCGCAAACGGTTTGGCGTGTATCGTGCTTCTGGCCCCCCAGAGCAGCGAGCCTACTTGGGAATGGAGCCAACGGAATGTCGACTGTCATGTCGCGATCGTGAATGGTAGTATGTTTCCTTTCGAGCTTGCTTCATAGTAGCAGCCTGATCCAATAGGAAATCGCACTTCGTTCGCATCGTGTATACCATGTTGCTGTATGGTGTCGGCGATTTCCATCTCCTGATCCAGCATGTACTCTCGCTCATTGCTGTGAGAGACACGCATGCACAGGGAATTCGACACAGGCCCGAGGTTCCGAATCGATAGGCATACGAGGCTCACATATAGCGCCTCCACCGCATCGCTTATTGTTCTAAATACGAGCAGATCGTCCACGTAGACTGTGACGACCACCACGCCATTCGCGTCGCGCCGGTGATACAATCACAAATAATGGCGCACCACGTTAAGATAGTATTCTCGGACGCTTGTGGAAGAACTGGATTTGTAGAAACCCCGTCTGTTGAAGCCCATAACGGCTTTTCTTGAACTCAAGCACGAATTTGTTGTCGTTGTCCACTCCGAGTTTCCTGAGCTCAACTTTGCTGACCGTCACGACCTTCGGCACGTAAATCAGGATTGCCAGATGCTGTTCTATCCCGCCTGTATATAGGCATTAGGCACGTTCCCATGCTTGGCGGGAATGCCCCAGTTTGTAGCGAGTGCAAGTACAACTTTCACCGTCGTTATGCCCATGACGGCAGCGAATGTAAAAGCGCGTAGTCCACACCAAACAATCGCTCAATGCCGCACGCCACTAAACGTGTCTTTCGCCTTCTCACCGTCAGGATTCGTTACGGAATATAATACCTTTTTCTGTGAAGCATGGTGGTGTGGCTCGAGCGAAGTGCCAAAATCCAAGCGTCGTCTGCTTCGATGGAGCTAATTAACTCGCGCATCACTGCCTTCCACTGATTGCGTTTGACGCTCGTCATCCCTTCGAATAGTATAATAGGTCCCGATCGACCACAAGATAAAAGACATTTCCATTACCCGCTTTTTCTTCTAGTCTTGATGTCTCCTCTTTTGAAGCTCCTAGTGTCATGTGCAGCTAACGTGTCCATTTTTATTCTTTTTTCCTGGAAGTCTGCTGCTTTGTCTGCTGAACAGCCGTCTCAGCGCCCTCGAGATATTCGTCAACGAGGATAAAATGAAGCTGTCGGGTTTGCACTTCGTTTAGCGCCTCGATGTCCCTCACGAGTTGCATCGTAGTGACTTTGTTTTTCTCTTTATGCAGACCCTGAATACTTGTATCTCGTTACTGTACCCAAGTATCGTGCCTACTTGAGCTTGGGGCCCAAAGTTGTTCTTTGACGGATCGCGGTAAGAATTACTCTGCAACTCAAACACGACGATGTTTTAATAATGGGCTCTAACTGGTGAGTACTTTTAGTGGTGAGGCTCGCTTTAAATTCGAGTTCGTGGGACTCCGGTTGAAATCGTAGGCCACATACTCTGTTGCATATCATTAAAACATAAGTGGTAGCCCTGATGAGAAGATCATCATTCTGTTCATGTTGAGGATTGTACGATGCATCCTTCAAGCCTTGTCGTTGGAGGTCTGATTCTTGGTCTCGCTCACTTGTCTCGCGACACCTGTGCATTTGCGTTTAAGACCCAAGTTCTGCCCCCCCTTCACTGTCGGTCCTGAAGTGCGGCATTCATGCACTCCAACTTCCTATAAAGAACAACAGGAAGTGCTGGAACTTATTTGCAGCAGCATCCTTCGTGTGCGCAAAGAACACCGTATATACTTGCTCTTATCATCGATAAAAAATCAATTACCGTTTTTTTAAGGCGATCGGTTGGCGTCAGAAAACCTTAGATAAGAATAAAGGACGCCTTTGATGCTATCAATAAAGCGTTCTGAAGAAAGTACTTTTGGCTCTGCTTGTTCTTGGTCCGATTGCTCTGGGCACAAATAATGCACGTTGCGCACTTGTGGTCCGTAAGTTCGATGCCCGAAGTCGGGTTCCTGGCAATTATATTGATCGTTAATACTGATAGATGCCTTAAGCGTTTACAAAAATTGGAGCAGAGAGCCACCGAGAATTGTCAGCGACGCTTCATCCACTAGCCTCTTCCTGTAGATTTTTCTGATGACTTCAACTGGCTCTTCCATTTTCGTAGCCATGCCGACTGTCTTGACAACCAAATTGCTGTTCTGTAGCTCAACAAAAACACGACCTGAATTTCATTGCGGCGCTAAACAATTCGCTTTCCGCTCACGTTCGCCAACGTGTAGACATTAGTGTCGATCTTCCAGTATCTAACGATGGTTCGCGCGACACTCGGTGCAAGGCACACGTTCTTGAGTAGCACAGTGCTCTCCTTTCCATCGGCGGTCACAAAGATCCGCAAGTCTTCGACTTTATTCAGCACGAGCTTCTCGGCGTCGGCAAGTGATAACTCATCTCTACGTTCCTCTGCGTGCAGAAACATACGCTCATCATTGACGAGGTGTCCGCTAGCGCCGCAGTCCAGGATCCAGTCGTTTCGGGCGTCTGCGTTGCCGTCTCGCGCCATGAGGGTGACCTCCCTATGCTGCTACTCTCATCAGGCCATTGCTTTGACTTCTTCTTTGACTTGCAGTCGATCTTTAGAGGTCATTTTTTTGCAGATGTAGCACAAGTGATTTTCATGCTGCTTGTCACTACTACAACTGCCGCAAATACTCTGCGGCCGATTTTTTTACTAGTCTTGTTGTCTATACACATTTCTTGAGCATATTGTGTTCGCTTCCTCACTTAACTAAAGTGGTCTTTCGTCCCGATATTGTACTTCAACATCAACGCGGTACTGATCTCTCTTGACGCGTGGTAGCCAATGTTGTCCAGTACCTGCACCTCGGAGCCTCCACCGCACGCGTCGCATGCGGCGACCAGGTACACAAATTGCTACGGCCACGACCTCTCTGTGTCCTTCCTAGCCGCAAAGAGCTTCATGCTATGTGACGCAGTATTGTTATCCTGAAAGTGTGCAGCAGTTGCCCCATTGCGTATTCGAGCGTCGCGACTTCGAGCAACCAGGTGTCAGCTTGTTTCTAGTAATTCCGTACAGCCGTGCCTACCAGACAGTGCCCCAAAGGAATGGGTTTGAAATTTTACGCCCATCATAAGCCATACGCTTTTTGGGCTATCGACTTGTGCCGAAGGGGAATTTCCACCAGTTCGAGAAGCCAGGAACAAGGCCCTTCTAGAGAACACTGCTGTCAAACTTTCGAATCGCAAGCTTTCGTTGAGTTTCGTCCGGTGTGAGCATCATTAGCTACTGCATTGGAACTGGTTGCACTGGAGGTGCTGATGTAGGCACGTGCTCATCCATATGTATGAGAAGGCCTCGAAAAAATAGCGGTATCGGCTGCCGAATTTGCTGTTGTCGGCCGCATAGTTGCGACCCAAATGTCTCGAGCAGCAAGCTCCCCGGTTGCGCCATTCGCACATGCCTACGTTCCGGCATGTCGTAGCCAATTGCGTCCTTATGGATTGGGATCCGCCCATCCACGTTCGAGCTCCGACTTGTAAAACCCGCTATCGATGCTCTTCGGAATCGCTCGTTTTCTTCGATCTGCGCCTGCAAATCTCGAGCGCCTGTACGCGATATATGAGCGCCTGAACCATCGTGAGCACCCATTATCTGCACCCGCGCCCCTTTTGTGGACTTGAGCGTCAACGAAGATACTTGGTTCTTGCGCGTCCCTTTGCAGCCGGTTTCTACAAGAAAATGGGTTGAGTCGTTGAATTTCGGGGGATTTAAATTTGTGCTCATAGCTGTTATTTTTCGAAGATTTGCGCAGAAGATGGAATAGAACTAAAACTGAGGTTGAAAGTGTACTCCTTCCTGATATTGCTTTTGTGGTGAAGTGGGGTTCGATCATTTTCTGAGGCAATCCCGACTCTCCACTGGCGCCCAGACAACCGACTAACGGAGGGGGTACTCCGATTCCGCTTGCACTTGTTTCCTTCTCACCTTGTGTACCCGTCGGTAGGGAGGGTTGCACTCTTCTAGGTGGACTTGACTCGACGCTGAACTTGACAGTTTTAGAGATTAGTTTCGATCGAGCGGAAATTTCTCACCCGTTCGCGTGCTCTTGGTTGGCCCTCTCCCAGAGTCGCCGCGATCAGTCTTGATTGCCTTGTGCCAAAAATTGGGTACTTGAGTCTCGAACCTTCAAAACCAATCGAGCCGTCTTGCGATCTTGTAATTCCACCAGTAAGGGCGCCTGCGTCCTATCGCAGTTGAGGTGTGTTAAGAGTCCTTGTACACCTGGCCAAATAGCCCCAGGAGTGATTTTCTTGCCCTTGGTGTCGAAGTTCTCTGATGTCGGGATGCCAAAATATCCACAACCCGGAAGAAGAACGACACGTGTGTGTTAAGAAGCAAATTAAACTTTATTTAATGTTAACCGAACAAAACCCAAAACTATAACCACGCCTACTCCGTATGTCAGGATTGACCATCACGTGCCTTCTTCATGAAGAATGGATTTACCATCCTTCTATATCACGTAGCCCATGCCATATCGCGGTCTCTTGATCGCGGTTCCTTGGTCGCGGTCCTCTGATTGCGGTCCCCTGATATCTATACAATATGGCACCGTGTAGATCAGACGGCGTTGATCCCGTTAGGTCCACCCAACGGTAACACCAAATAGCTGGCTATAATCCCATAAGCGAGTCATCCAAAATAATCTCGTACTTAGATGATGAATCTCCTAGGCTTTTGGACCCGATCTAAATCGACTTTACCACAATAGTTTACTGTACAAATATACGATCCACAACTTTTAGCTGGCTTTTGCACGCGCTTGGTCGTCATTTTCCGTTTTACTGTAAATCATTGCTTTCAAACCGTCCACACCGTCCACGCCCCGTCGTGCCTCGCCCGACGTGTCTTCCGCTAGGGACGCATTACCTCACCCGGTTGGCTCCACATTGACATCCGTTTATACATCGCCTGGCACTTCGAGTGATTTAACTGTGGTTATGTCCTTAGTGCCATTATCAAAACCTCTGATGACGATCGGCCACTTGGACTCCAGCCCCACCGGAGCGATTCCGTTGTCAACCGCTCGAGTCGAATTGCCGCCGGTAGACGATCAAGCGGCTGTGATCGAGATGCTCGCTGGTCCTTATCATCAATTCTCGTCTCAGAAAGACTTCTTCGATTGCTACCATGATCTGGAAAAAGCGATGAGGGAACAGACCCGTCGAGGTGATCGGCTAGAGCAAAAGCTCTGTTCTTTTGCTGAGTCGTCCTCTCCATTTTTGACTTTTTTTTAAATTTGCTATGATCCCCTTCGCTTGGAACTCGAAGATGCGCGCGCGGAGGCCGCCTCACTTCGGGAGGAGGTCTACGCGGGTCAGTGTCAAGAGCTGCAAATTAACGACTATAAGTAGAATCTTTTGAAGGCGACTCGATCGCTTTATGCTTCAAAGGAACGTCACGATTGGGATTTGGCAGCCTTGTGGCAGCACATGAATGAGGGAAATGCCCGAATGTACGCTGTACTCACCCAAGAAACCGCAAGACTTCAGAAGGTTTAGTCGAAAAAATCTGATATAAGGCTGGCTTTTCTCAGTCCCAGACAAAGGTTTGCCGTCAGCGCGATTTTCTTGCGGAATTGGTGTCAGAGCGCAATCTAGCACTGCACGATCGGTATGCTCTTCGGGCGAGTATCGCCATATTCTCTGCCAGCGTATCCGCCCCCCTTTCTTTCCATCTGTCAGGGGAGCCTCATCCCGTTCTAAGCCATCTGCGCAAAAGGATTAGCGAAGTCCAAGGACATCCGTGACAAGCGTACCGGGTCTTTCGCTTCAGTTCTTCCTCCACGGAGCAAAAGGGCCAAGACAAGGACTTCCCTTCTCCCCGTACCTCTCCTCAGTCGTCACTTAAGGCAACGTCGAAAACTTCGGCTTCGACTGTGCCTGACGGTTTTACCACGTCTATTTCCCCGGGTAGGAATCAGAAGAACAGCATTCCTCGTCCCTCCCGCCGTTTCAAGCGATCCACGGCAACGCCAGCGCCCCAAACATCCGCTCCGTCCGGATCTGGTGGCCGTAAGGGACAAGGTAGACTGCGTGTCCCGGCAACTGCTGCCTTTCGCTCGGATGAGTTATCAGATGCAGAGTTTTGAACTTTAGCTGCACTCCCCGATCGCGTTCTCTTTCCGGGCGTATGGTTCCGCCCGGTGTCCCGCTGGCTCCGACCTCCACTTCGCCCGAGTTGATTTGTTGTGGAATCCCTAGACCTGCATTGAGTTCTCTTTCTTCTTCTAACTCTGCTATCCCTACGCTCAAAACCAAGCTTCTCAGGGTCGACGTTTTTGGTGAAGCCTTTAGCAGTTCGGATGGCGCGACCAGTATCACGGAAGAATCCCGAAATCCTAGTAACAAGCTGTTGTTTTCAGCCGAGTACGATGCTTTTCTCCGGACCAAGGTGCCGCGATCAATGGATACCTGGGTATTGTTGTAGCGTTCCGAAATCTTCCGTTCAAGTTTCACCTTGGTCTGCACGTCGGTGAGCTTGATCAGCATGTATACTTGGCGTTTTCTGCCACCATCTTGCCAGGCCGAGACATTACCCCTTCCCGGTTCCTCCCAGTACGTCTACAACACCTCCTGTGTTGGATTGGTATTCTCGCCTGGTTTCTTTGGCGCAGATCGCCACAATTAACCACCAGGAGACTTGGAAGTCTATGAAGGTAGAGATCGCGCCCGTTTCCTTCCCGCCTGCTGGGCTGTTCGAAAGATTGCTGGATCTGTACCACTCATTCGAGGATCGACATTTCTAGACCTTGTAGTGGTCGACCCACAATTGGCAAATTCCTCCGCCGATTGAGTTAGCAATCCTGCGTTGACGTTGTATGTGATCGGCGCAAGCAAATGCGCTCTCGAGCTGGACCCCGCTTGCAACTTTTCTGCGATTCACACTACAGGGTATGGTGTAAGGATATTATGACTTAAATATTCTGCTGGACCAGGTTTTCTTGCTTCTGCCTCGTTCGACTGAGAAGCGCTTCTAATACCCTGATTTAGAGGATCGGAAAGCCAACATCCCCAACGTGGCTTCCGCTTTATTGCTAACGAACTCTGCTAAGCCGTAGCGCAATCAGTGCCGAGCTGCGATCGCGGATCATCCGGCATGTCGATCCCTTGCCTAGCCGGAAAGTCAGTCGTTCTGTAGTCTGTTTGGCTCATTGTATTTTAATCTCCATTTTTATTTCTTCATGCTTTCTCATATTAATACCCCTTAGAAATGTCTTTTTTTTTTTCTTTTATCAGTCTCGTAAACCTTGATCGTGTTTCGATCGCCACACATACTTACAAATATACCTTACTTCTTCTTGCATCACCTCCTGATGCAATTGTTCTCACCTTACAACGTATGCAACCCCCATGCATATTGTCACCATTCCTTCATTCTCATATACAACCACAAAATATCTTCACCGCCTTACAACCGTAGGCAACCTCCTTGCAACTTACACACACCGATCACCCCGATATGGTCTAGACCCTTCGCTCTTCTTCGTACGTTTGTATAACTTCAGATCAATTTCGACTTCTTCGATCGCGATCAAATTCTTGTAGCAAATTTGCCTCATCCACCCATGACGAATCGCTCGAACATTTTCTTTGCGTTAGAAATTGAGGCTGTACTCGCCCGTAGCGTGTTTTTCGACCTGATCTCACATTCACAATTTTCTTCACCTCAAATTCGTCGCCATACAATTCACCTTTTAAACTATCTTTCGAAGTAGGGCGTTATCAAAATCAACTCGATCAGACTCGTCTACATTCACCCGAATGTGGGATCGTTCGGGGAACACCTTCACTGGCTTCAGTATGGATGCACGAACGACTGGAATCAATCGATACGGTGTGCCTGCGATCGCCAATTTCACTGCATGGTCTCCACATTTAGAAACCACTCGGAACGGTCCAAGCCACATATGAGCTAATTTTTGAACGTATCTATCTTTGATGCAAAGTCAGATGCACCCATTCTTGTGATCCTTAGTCGATCTCCAGCAGATTGCGGTCTTCGTTATGACGATCCGCTCGGTTTAAAATCGCGGTCTTCAGGTGATCGTTCACGATCGCCCTAGCTTTTTGATATTGGCGCTGAATATTATACCTCCATCCTCTGGGTCGTGATCGCGAGGTTTAACATTCCCTAGCGGCTAAGTCGCATTCAAAGCCAGTCGTAAGTCCCAAACATACATCAAATAAGACGTCTTTTCTCCAAGAACTCGATCTTGCATGGTGTCAATCGCGTAGGTCAATCGTTCTGCGTGTTTGTCCCAATCTCTCTAGTTTTCATCTGTAACAAACATTTTAATTTGGTTGTGTCAGAGTTTGAACCAGGCGTTCCGCGGTTCCATTTGCTTAAGGTCGATAAGCTGTTGTGGCTCTTTAACTCTGTCGTGCGATTTTGTTGAATGTTTGAAAGAAATCAGACATAAATCCTGGCTCTTGGTCAAGAAAGATAAATTCACTCGCACAAAATCTCCGAAAACACTTTCTTCATAGTTTTCTGAGGCTGTCTGTGAAGTTCAGAATGAGTCCGCCTTTGCGATGAAATAGACATAAAACAGATCGATTTTCAGCAGTTATTACGTTTTCCTTTCGAGCGATCGCGGTAGAGACGAAATCTGATCCATTTTTAGACTTTGGAATGAGTAAGCGCTTGTAAATTTTCTAACGACCTACCTTGATCTTGCGGGCGACCCTTGCCGATTTCACGATTCACACACTCGCCAACATAGCTTTGCACGCTCCAGGACTATCCTCGCGAATGGGTATTCGCCCTGATCCGCTGGTATGTACGGCCTACTCCTTGATGTCCGCCTTCCAAACTAGTATGATAATTTTGTAAGACGTCATGTTGCAACAATTCGGATATTTTTTCAAACGAACCGGCTTGCTTCGAATTTCGCTTTTTGCTGCTGCCCTTGAAAAGAAAAGTAAGAGTTCGCTTTGAGCGACTTTGTAGTCCGGTGCGATTAGGGATAGCATTCTACGTGGCTATATCCCCGATTAGATCTGGTTTCCAATTCTGATATCCAACTATCTCCATCTTGCGCCTGTTTCATACGTTCAATCTTGACCTATTGTACAACTTCCTCTTGCAAAACTGTCGGGGGCATCGTCTTCGCGTCGCTGATCGAGTTAACAAGGCCACTTTGACTGAAACGTTGGATTAATTTGAATTCAGCAACTCATTTAGCTGATTAAGGGTTTTGAATTTGTTTCGCTCATGGTTTGATACCACGACACCCCCTTTATCTTGCATTAAAGCCTCAACCGCTAGCCGGTCAGCACTCTGGTTCCAGTCCCTTTTCATACGTAGAAATTCATACTTCGGCCACGATCGGAGTTTCTCCATTGCTATGTGATTTAGCAATTGTAAACCGGGTGCTTAACAATCAATTTCGCTTTGCATCTGCCTTATCATTAAGTTTGAGTCACCACAAAAGATCACTCGTCCTCTAGTCTGATCGGACAGTGAATTCAATCCTAGGATTTGTCCGCGATATTCCGCATCATTCACTGTCAAATCTTCTGCAAACTCAGAAGTATCCGCCACGATTGTCCACTCAGGTAGCTTCCATATTTTTGCACTGCTGGCCTCGTCTATCTTCTTTACCCTAGACGATAATCCCAGCTGACCAGCAGGAGATTTTCGTCTGTTTTGGCTTTGGGTGGCAGCATGCTTATAGTTTTCCGTGGCTTTTTTCTTTTAGCGATCACGATCAGCAATTCGTCTACGTATTTGCGGGGTGTCACACTTGCAGCTATCGTGCCCAGCATTCCGTCTTAGTCTTATTCGCATCGTCGAATCTTTAACGTCCACGTTTACAGTAACGCTGCCCATCTCCCTAGTCTTCCGTTGAGACCAGACGACTGCAATAGTCAAGTCAACGTCGAATATCTCGTAAGCACCATAATTTCATGTTATACCAACATGGTGTAATAACTTTCTAAATGTTGAAGGAGAGCTAGCACTGTTTCTCGAACATTCCGTAATGAACTTGATCGGGCTTCAGCGTGCAGCTAGAAATGGTGACCAGAATAAATGTGACATCGTTTTCCTGAAGCAGTGCAGCTGATACTGTCCACTTACTGGCGTATAGCACAATCAGAGGTGCTTGATCTGGTTCGAATGTCTAAAGATCGGGTCTCAGCAATTCGGCTTTTAGCAATATAAAAGCTTTTACTGCTTTCTTCCATCGACTTCTGCTTCCAGATTCCGGATCGCCCCCACAATTTCTTCAAGATCACTCTTTTTGTTTGAGTCCAAATCGCTCTTGGTGTTAAAGTCCAGATCGCCCCCTAGTTTTTAAGTCAGGAGAATATCCGGAACTGTATCGTAAATTGCGACCGTGATCGAGTTCGATGTCTGATATTGATAACTGAAACTCTTTGTCTTGGCTGATCGAATGGAAATCTGTTTTCCGCAGCTCATAAAGCACAGAATCAAATATCGCAAAGTCTTCAATAAAGCGAATGTAGTAATTTGGGCTTCCCAATAAAGACTGCATCGATCTCATAGTTTGAGGGAAGGGATTACTCACTTGAGGCTAAGTTTTTGAGGTGAGCCTCCAGCTCCTTGAGCGATACTTGATGATCTAGGTAGTCAGCTTTACGACTGCTCCAAAATTTTTTGACTACACTGATCGATAAGTTCCATCTGTCACACACTTCTAAGACTCATTCCACCCTTTCAAATATGGAGGTCCATGACATAGATAGGATTAAGAGGTCGTGTGAAATGACATTCTACCTAGATCTGATGGTCTTGGGTTTGTATCTGGCACTCCGTTAGTAAACACATCAGTCGGCGTCGACGAAAGTAGTGCATACGAGTTAGGTGTTGGGCCGATCTTCAAATAACCATAATTTACATTGTTAATCAGTCGTTATAAAATCTGGGGAGCGGTTTTCGGCCCTAACGACATTTGTAACCATTCAAACAAACTCAAAGGTGTGACGAATGCGGGAATAGCTCTGGCTCGTTCTGTCATTTCCACAACCCAAAATCCACTCGCCATGTATAGCGAGAAATACCACATCGCTTTGATCAAAATTTGCAGCAACTCGTTTATCACTGGCATAAGATATCATCAATCTTGTCAATTTATACACCTTTGTATAATCGATGCACATCCGAATATCTTCCCCATGCTTCTTGACAATCATCACAATAGGGAAAGCCTAATTTGATGTGGACAGATGAATGATCCGATTCTATAGTAATCTCTTCATCAGGTACGCCAGTTTGTCTCGATATATAGGTGCCACCGGTCGTACTCTCTGCGCGATCGTTTTAGCACTTCCGGCATTGAAATCGCATACCGCTCCACGCGCAGGTGGATGCAGGACGTCCTCCTTGCCCATGAGTAAGTGGCGATATTTCTAGATCAGTTGCCTAAACTTCTTGTGATCCTCTGTCAGTGGCATGCCTAGATATCCAACCTGGATGTCATCTACAGCTACTTCTTCCGTGGGACCGATTATCTTCGGCAAAAAGG